TGGCGGGAAGGAGATAAACGCTCCGAATGTGCTGGCCCCCATTCTGACTGCTCTGAACCCCAGGCCTAGGCCAGACCCCGGGGACCCAGGCTCACACAGAGGGAGCCGGGCTGAAAGGCTGAACCCCGGGGAAGAGGCGAAAGGAGGTCCCGGCGGCGGCGGCGCTGCGCAGAGAAGGGACGGTTGGCTGTGCCGCGGGATTGCCTGGCGGGAAGGAGACAGGGGCTCCAGACTGCTCTGAACGCCACCTCCAACTCCACTTCCAACTGAACTGAACCCCAGTTTCGGGACCATTGGGGGAGAGACTAGACTGTTTGGTAGCAGGCGAAAATCGAGGGCGCCTTTCTCTCAGAGGCGCTTACAACAAGTACTGAAGGACCCTGAGTCTCAGGAGTCGCATAGGGCGGGGCTGACAGAAGCCAAAGCTGTAGGCTCCACCCTGAAACCCCGCCCCATCAGGAAAGCTGCCTGCGAGAATGCCTAAACCAAATAGATCACAAACGAAAGAAATGGAGGACAAAAAGCGACTGGATATAGAGTTCAAAACCACACTTATAAGGTTTTTCAAGAGTTTCCTAGAAAAGGCCGATAAAATAAATGAGACTTATGAGGATATGAAAAGGGATCAACAAGAAATAAAGAATACATTGTCTGAAATAAAAACTATTATACAGAGTCCTAAAAACAGAATAGAAGATCGCAAGAATCAAGTCAAAGATTTGGAACATAAAGAGCCAGAAGATACTCCTCCGCAGAAGCTAGAAGGCAAGAGAATCCAGAAAATTGAGAATCAAGTCAAAGATTTGGAACATAAAGAGCCAGAAGATACCCCTCTGCAGTCGCTAGAAGGCAAGAGAATCCAGAAAATTGAAGATGATGTAAAAAACCTCTGGGACAACTTCAAACGATCCAACATCAGAATTATGGGGGTCCCAGAAGATGAGAGAGAGCAAGATATCGAAAACATATTGAAAGAAATAGTGACAGAAAACTTCCCCCACCTGGGGAAAGAATTGGACTTACAAGTCCAGGAAGCACACAGAACTCCAAATAAAAGGAATCCAAAGAGGACCACACCAAGACAAATCATAATTAAGATTCCAAGAGCAAAAGACAAAGAGAGAATATTAAAAGCAGCAAGAGCTAGGCAGATAGTTACCTATAAAGGAGCACCTATACGATTGTCAGCTGACTTCTCAACAGAAACCATGCAGGCCAGACGGGAATGGCAAGAAATATTCAAGGTGATGAATAGTAAGAACCTACAGCCAAAGATAATCTATCCAGCAAAGCTATCACTCAAATTCGAAGGTCAGATAAAGAGCTTCACTAATAAAAAAAAGCTAAAGGAGTTCATCACCACCAAACCAGAATTATATGAATTGCTGAAGGGGGTTCTTTCAGAAGAGAAAGTAAATAAAGATAAAAATTATGAACAACAAATACGTAACTATCAACAAGTGAATCTAAAAACCAAGGAAATTAAAAAAAAAATCTGATGAACAATATTAACTGTTGAATATAATAGAATCAGAGGTATGGGAGGGGAGTGAACTGATGATTCTTGGGGAAAAGGGGAGAAGGGGATGTGGGAAGAGACTGAACATAAACTGTGCACCTATGGATGAGGACAATGGGGGGTGGGGAAAGGGCAGAGGGTGGGGTGGGAAGGGACATTTGTATTAATATGAACAATAAAAATTAAGAAATAAAAAAAAAATTAAAAAAAAAAAAAAAAACCAATGGGAAAATATCCTTGGGGGAGGCTTAACAATAACAACAACAACAACAAAAAGAACTCAAGGACCACCAACAAAAAAAGTTTATGCCCTCAAAATCCAAGATAGCACTTAAAACCCCTTCCAAGCGACCTTTTGATGAAATTTTCTTAATTAGCATACTAAAATTCACTCAGAAATGAAGATTTAACATTAAAATGAGACATGCAATGTATGGCTAGACATGTTCCAAGCATGTTTGAGGACTGCGTATACTCCCTTGGAAATTGAGAACCCTCCACCCTTCCTCAAAAATCCCTGCCCTTGAACCCACCTATCTCTCGCAAGACTCTCTCTCTCTCTCTCTCTCTCTCTCTCTCTCTCTCTCTCTATATATATATATATATATATATATATAATTTTAATATAAATATATATATAATTTTAATACAAATATATATTTAATCTCTTTATTGGTTTAATATATTTTTATTGATTTTTTTTTACAGAGAGGAAGAGAGAGGGATAGTTAGAAACATTAATGAGAGAGAAACATTGGTCAGCTGCCTCCTGCACACCCCCTACTGGGGATGTTCCTGCAACCAAGGTACATATGCCCTTGACCGGAATCATATCTGGGACCCTTCAGTCCACAGGCTGACACTCTATCTATCCACTGAGCCAAACCGGTTAGGGCCCAGACTCTTTATTACTTTTCTAATTCCCTAGAATTAGGGATAATAAATCACTAGAGCTTTCAATATCCTTCTCTATTCCTTGGCCAAGGAATAGTTTCTGTCTTGCCTTACCAGATACTGTCTCATATGATTGATGAGACACAGTATAGAGCAACCACAATTTGGGACCCCTGACTGGCAGGAGTCAGTGACACTATACCTCCCAAAGGTGACCATTCTGACTTTCAATGCCATTGATCAGTTTTCCTTATTTCTATGTGTGTTTTTTTATATGAATAGAATCATACATATGTTTGTATATGTTTACTTCTTTTGTTCAATGTCAGGTCTGTGAGATTTGTCCATATGGTTGTGTATCCTATGTTCATTCATACTCATGGCTGTATACTAGCATTCTATTGTGTGACTTTACCACAATTTACATGTCCATTCTACTATGAATAGACAATTGAATTGATGGCAGTTTAAAGCTATCATGAACATATTAGAAACATCCTTGCACAGGAAGACAAACAATCCAATTAAAAAGTGGGCAAAGGACCTAAATAGATATATCTCCAAAGTGGACATACAGATGTTTAAGAGACATATGAAAAAATCCTCAAAGTCACTGATCATCAGAGAGATGCAAATTAAAATGACACCTGTCAGAACGGCTACCATCTACAAATCAACAAATGACAAGTGATGAGGATGTGGAGAAAAGGGAACCCTAGTACACCACTGGTGGGAATGCAGACTGGTGCAGCCATTATGGAAAACAGTATGGAGTTTCCTCAAAAAATTAAATATGGACCCCAGCAGGTTTGGCTCAGTGGATAAAGCGTCAGCCTGGGGAATGAAGGGTCCCGGGTTTGATTCTGGTCAAGGGCATATGCCAGGTTGTAGACTCAATCCCTAATGGGGGGCACACAGGAAGCAGCCAATCAGTGATTCTTTCTCATCATTGATGTTTCTATCTTATCTCTCTCTCTTCCTTTCCCTTCCTCTCTGAAATCAATAAAAATATTTTTTAAATTAAATATGGAACTGCCATTTGACCCAGTAATCCCACTTCTAGGAATATATGCTAAGAAACCCAAAACACCAATCAGAAAGAATATATGCGCCCAATGAAGGAAGACACTTTGGTCCCCTCCTCCTAAGACAGCGACCCAGTACTATTCACACTCTGAACTGGATGCCACCCACAGAGACCAAGAAACCAAGAGGGGCCTGGCCGGTGGTGCTCAGTGGTTGAGTGTTGACCTATGGAGTCAAGAGGTCACGGCTTGATTCCTGGTCAGAGTATATGCCTGGGTTTCAGGCTCAATCCCCAGTAGGGGTCATTGAAGGAAGTAGCTGATCAATGATTCTCTCTCATCATTGATATTTTTATCTCTCTCTCCCTCTCCCTTTCCTCTCTGAAATCAATTTTAAAAAATTTTTTTAAATAGGGTGGGAATGAGGCAGTAGGGTCTGAGTCTGCCTCTAAAGTTGTAGCCAGGTGCTCCAGTCCCTCCCATTTGAATGATGACATGTTTCCCACCCTTAGTAAATGCCAGGAACTATTCTAAGATTTATATAAACTCATTTAATCCTCACAACAACACTAGGAGAAATATATATGTATATATACTTAGTTATTTATTTTTTACTATTCATCCCTCTTTCACAGCTAATAAAACAGGCACAGAGGTTAACACCTTGCCCAAGAGCACAGAGTGAGTGAGAGGCAGAGCGGATTCAAGACCTAGGCTACTCTTACGCTCTGGGCACTCTGCCTCGCATGCCCTCATCTCTATCAGAGTGGGCAGGGGAGCGGTGGGAGAAGCAATTAGTGGCCACCTGCTCTGGGCCAGGCACTTGACACACACCTGCATGCTTCAGTCTCATTAGAACACAGTGAAGGATGAGCCCTGATACTCCCAGGCCATGAGGGAGAGCAAGACCACAGCAGTTGGATCATCTATTTGCCCAAGCCACACAGCCCAGGAAGGGGTGAAGCTGAAATTCAAACTTCGGCCTGAGCCTGCCCCAAAGGGCCCCTCCCCAGCCTGCATGGGGATGGGGACCAGGAGGAAGGGGAGGCGGAGAAGGCGGGGAGAAGACTATAGGGTCCTCCGGCTCCTCCCCACCCTGCCTGACATGGGCAGAGAACACCAGGGACAAGGGATAAGACACAGCTCCAGCATTCTCTCATTGCTCTCAAGGGCAATGGCCTCCGGAGTGAGGTCCTGTGGATCCCCCCTCCTGGACACCCGTCAGCTGCCAGGGACCAGGGCAGGAGGGGGGTTAGGGCTGGCTAACCTTTTGCACTCTTCAGCAGTGCCTCCTGATCCATGGCAAACATAAATAAGGCCTGGATGGAGGGACCTCCTTCAGAGGACAAGGGTAACAAACCCAGATTGCTGGGCAGCAGGTCTGGGGGGCACAGGACAGCCCAGAGCCCAGAAAGCCAAGGATGGTAAGGAAGCTGCCTCCCGGGATGCACTCAGCGATACCAGACCCAAGGAAGGGACAAGGAGAGGGGGACTGGCTGCATGCCTCAGGAAGATACATAAATGAGAACAGAGCAGATGCATGGTGGGAAGGGCAGAGGGCTTCATTGGTGTAGGCGCCGCCGGTACAGCACAACTCCTAGGACTGTGGCCAGGAGCACCCCAACAGCAGCCATCCCAAGCCACGGAGCCCTCTGAGCCGGCCCATCACAAGGCAATTCCTTCTCTTCTGTGAGCTGGGTGGCATTGTGAAGCCCGGGATTGCCTGCCAGGAGGTCAGCACTGGGACCCTCAGTGATATGGATGACCCTAACGATGTCCGCTGACGTGTACTCGTTCTCCTCCGGGGCGTTGTTAGGTCCTGGCTCCGTGTCGCTACTGATGGCGAGATCCATGGAGCAGCCGGAGAACGGCTGGCTTTCCATCTGGGAAGACAGCCCGCCTGGCTTGCTCAGCTCTGGCCCTGAGACCCAGCTGTTGGAACTGCTGTCTGCATAAGGTGAGCTGCTCCTAGCAGGTGCACTTGTGGGTGCTGGAGACACTGGCATCTGCTAGTTAGAGAGAGAGAGAGAGAGAGAGAGAGAGAGAGAGAGAGAATGGAACGAACTGGGGATGGCAAGCCAGGTTGGACAGCCCCATTCCTAGGCCAGGGTGTGAACTAGCACCTCAACCTTGTAATTCCAAGCCCACAGTACACATGAGGTCACCCTCTTAGAGAGTCAACCCACCGATAGTTTAGGAAAGCAGTAGGGGAGGAGACCCAGGCCCTGCAGCAGCATCAGTGGCGACTTCTTCCAGAGCAGCCCTGTCCCTCCTCACTGGCTTGCCTGTGAATTCAACCCCACCCCCGGGAGCCCTTGGTATGGACAGCCCCATCCTGAACCAACGTTCGGCCTGGGCCTGAGGACCATGGAGCGGCCAGCCGCCGCGGCTTGGCTCCTCTGGGCCGAGAGCAGCAGGAGGGTGATATGCGGGGGCTGGAAGAGGCAGCTGAGGGGGGCTTCTGGGTCTGAGTAGCTGCCCAGGCTAAGTGGGAGGGGGCTGCTGTCTGTGAAACCCTGGTCATGGGGGGCAGAGCAAAGTGTTGAGGCAGACAGGCCATTTTGCTCTCTCTCTCTCACTGCTTCCTCTTCTGCAAAACTGAGCTACTAAGCTTACCGAGGAGCTGAAAGATCTAAAGGGATGAGTGCATGTGACCAGTGGGGGTGGCCCACCATGACCGACTCTCCTAGGTATCCACACTGAAGAGCCTTAATGATGGTTATCACTCGAAAGCAGCATCGTGGACCACCAGCTGGCGACCACTGCTCCAAAGGTTTCCTTAAACCAGCGGTCACCAACCTTCCGGACCTCACGGACCACCAGTGGTTGGTGACCACTGCTCTAAAGGACATGGTGTGGGGTCTGAATGAGGCTCCTTCTCAGCTGACTCAATGCCCTCAAAAAGAGGCTCTGGACCAGAATGGAGACTGGCGAGGGGCCAAGAACAGGACTATGGAAGGGGCCTGGATCACTGCTTGGAGGGGTGAGGACTCACCTCCGAGGGTCTGCTGCTACTCCTGATGGTGGGTGCTGTGGTGGCAGGCACCTTGCTGGACACCGGGCTCGTGGGCATCCTGTGGTCAGGCACCACGCCAGTAGGTACCTTGGGTGACACTGTGCCAGCAGGTGTTGAGCTGACAGGCAACTTGGAAGGTGCTAGGCTGGTGGGCACATTAGAGGACATTATACCAGGGGTCTTCGAGCTGGTGGGCAACTTGGAAGGCACTGTGCTGGTAAGTGCTGAGTGGCGGGGCACCTTGGAAGGTGCTGTGCTGGTGGTCACAGAGTTGGTGGGTACCGCTACTCCACTGGAGCAGGCAGTCGATTCAGCACCCCTTGCAGAGGAGGAGAAGGTGCCAGTAGACGGAGCTGACACTGCAGGTCCAGGCAAGCGGCTTGCCCGGGGGGTAGAACGGGCCAGGGGCTGGAAGGAGGCAGTTGGAGAGACAGGCCCATGGGATGATGTCATGCTGGAGACATTGTCTGCAGGTGAAAAAACAAAAGAAGAAACACAAACTCACAGGAGGGCTGGGATCAGAGAGCTGGAAAAGGGCCCCTCTGCCCCAGCTCACACCATCTCTCTGGCATCAAGGCTTCCCAACTTCTTACCCAGTCCCTTTGGTCACTGCTCCTAGGCCTGAAGGCCCAACAGCTACAGGCACATCCTTGGTCCTGTCTATCCTCAGTCCTTGACCTACAGCACTGAGTCTGTTCTCTCACAAAAATGAAATGGTCCATCTCTCCAACAGCCTCTATGGGCTTGAATATCATTAATTATCTGCTCTGCTTCTTCTTCTCCTGTCTGGTTCACACACCCTTTCCTCCAGTGTCTGCCTTTTCCATCTCCTCCCTAGCCTGGTGGAACCCTAGATGTTCCTCCCATCACCATATTTTCTCCCTGCCCCACTCCAGCAGGACAATCCCGGACCAGGGCAGCAGGGTGGCTCAAGCAGAAATACCAGTCATGTGGTTCCAGAGGCCCAGCAACCTCTCAGTGTGTGCAAATCTCCTAGGAGGCCTAAGGGCTTATGTGTGTGTGTGTGTGTGTGTGTGTGTGTGTGTGTGTGTGTGTGCGCGCAGGGGGGGGGAGTGGGGGAGGAGAGGAGGGATTGCAGGCACAAAACCATCCCTGGAGGAGGGCCTGCCCTGGGGGAAGCAGAGGGAAGAACTGGTGATCATCCATAGGGCAGTTTTGTCAGGATTTTCTATGGAACTCTGAGAATGCACACCCCACACCCTACAGCTGACAAAGGCCAGGAGTGCTTCTGATGTGCCCACCACCCAAATATAACACCTCAGAACCTCGTGGAACCTGTCCTCACACGAATGAAATCGAAGTGCCCGTTGCCTCTGTCTGGTCCACAGCAGCAATTCCTAAAAGGTAGTGCATGGCAAGCTGACACTGCAAAATGCAAATGGCTGCTTGGGGTAGGGGATGAGGTGACAGAAGTCTAGGGCCACTAAGATGGCTTCTCTGAGCCTTTAACTGCTGTCCCAGGGTCACCGAGGGTTGGCCAGGCACCAGTGTCATGTGGAACACAGCTTGGAAAATAGTGGTGCAGAGAGATGCCAGCCTGGACAGTCACAGTGGGCAGCTCTACCTACCTAAGGGGGAATACTGAGGTCTAGTGTGAGGATTCGGGCCTTTGGCGATGAAGGCCATACTTCCTCTGGGGGCTGAGAAACTTTACTGATTTTCTGGGGGCTTGAGACCATTTTAGGGCAGGGCCATGCCTAAGTGCTCCCCTGTCAACAGCAGCCCTAGCCCTGCACTCTCCCTTCTGCACTGTCCTCTGGGTACTGGCAGGTCCCTCTACAGCCCCTTTGGCAGAGTGCAGACATAGCCCCGATTCTCCATGTATCCATGCCCTCTGAAATGTGACTTTGTCATTCCTATCACCTAAGGATGGAATGTCCCCTACTCCTTGACTCTGGGCTGGCCTTATGACTTTCTTTGCCCATACAATGAGGCATAAGGAATACCAGGCCAGTTCTGAACCTATGCCCCAAGAGCCCTCTCTTTCTCAGAACTCTGCTCAACTGCCATTAAACGAGCTTTTTGTTGGAGGGTAAGAGACTCATGGAAGAGAACCAAGGTGCCCCAGACAACAGCTACAAGCAGAGCTTACGTGTACGCTAATGTGTACACAAGAGAGAGTTCAGCCAAGATCTGAACCGGTTGTATCAGCCCAAATTGCTGACCCACAGAAGCATGAACTAAATAAATGGTCAAATTTTAAGCTATTAAATTTGGGGGGGGGGGGTCTTTGTTATACAGCTAATGCTAACCAATACACCCTCGAAGGAACTGGGTTGCTCCCTGGAGGGTGAACTCCCTTTATCCCCACCCTTGCCTCTTGTCTAAGAAAGCCAGAGGGGCAACTCTAATGCTCACCCACACTTAGAGGTCAGAGAGGCCCTCTACTCCAGATTTTATACATACCTGCTACGTGGGTACTGCCCAGTTCTACTTCCTGCTCTTGAGGCCCACTGGATGTCAGAGGGCTGAAGGACGCCATGTCAGAGGAGGGCTCCTGGGGGCCAGTGGGTCTCTTCAGGTCAGCCCCAGAGCTGGCTGTCGGTGGGAACTTCTTTGAATTCTGCAAGAGGCAAAATGTGAATTAGGCAGCTGCTTCTCCCAGGAGCTTGGGAGAAGTTCCTCGAGGCCTCAGCCCACGCCACGGCGCACAGGAAACAAGGGAACAGCTGCTTTGGCTTCGGTTACAGCCAGACCCTCTGTCAACAGGTGACTTTGAACCCACACACACCATCCCTTGGGGAGTCCCTATCTATCCCTCCGCTCTTGTAGAAAGGTCCCCCCTCTGGAAGGCCATTGCACAGACCCTTTTCTTAGGCTTCAAATCCATGGATTGGTGTCTCCAGAACGTCCACTGCCCATTCATCCTATCCCAATAGAATCAGTCATCTTTCCTCCAAACTTCACTTTATTGGCAATAATTACAGCTACACCATGCACCCCATCACCTCCTACTACCTTACGCCCCTTCTTCTGGTCAACCCTTAGCCTCTCAACATCTCACATGCACCATTGCAAAGACCTCAAATGGTGACCGTACAACTGGTTGATGAGAGGATTGGGCTGCCATAGAGTGAAGTCTTGGCCAACAGTCTGGGAGCTGGTCTGGAGCAGAGATTAGGGGAGCCTTGGGGTTCTGAGCAGAGATTAGGCACGATTATGGGGGGTAGGAGAGGGCTTCTGGAAGGCTGGGTGAGCAGAAGTAGGCAGATGGCAACACACAAGCAGGGGCAGAAGGCAGATCGTGAGGACATACCTCTCCCGGGGACACTGGCGACTGGGTGTCCTGGACTGGCATGGGGTAACTTGGCTCTTCTCTGTAGCTATTGTGAGAGGCACTGGGAGCCACAGCGGGTGTGGGGGGCCCTGGTGTCTCAGCAGGAACTGACGGCGGCTCCGGTGGGGCCTGGGGGCGTCTCTGGCTCACTGGAGGACAGACAGTGATGTCAAGGGGGAGTCAGGGGTGTTCCTAAGGGCCTAAACAGTGACAGGAGAGGGGGTCTTGGACCCCCAGGGCCACGGCTTACGGCCTCCACAGCTCCAAAAGCTGCCCTGATATGGCTGGCACTCCCCCGAGGAGCCACGCTTCACTGAGTGAGAGGCAGAAGTGGGAGGGAGGCAGGGGTTGGGGAGGACGAGGAGAGGAAGGTGGGACAAGACGGAAGGTTAGAATGTGGGGTGCCTCTCTGGCCTCACGCCACCCAGACTGGGTCGCAGTCACAGCTTCACTGTCCCCAGGCATTCTGGGACCCAGTGGCTTTCTCCCCCTGTGGGTGGCTGTCACCACCATTGAGCCCTCTACCTGATGCTGCCTCCTCCTCCACCCCTTCCCTTTCCTCCAATCACCTACCCTGGCCCCACCACAGTGGTTTGTATAATACACAGGGGATCACTGTTAATCTCCACAAATAAAAAGACACGTTTGGAAGGAAGGGAGGGACAGAAGGTAAAGAAAAATGATAGAAGACAAACAGCATGATACTGTAAGGCTATCAATCTAGGCAGGGCTTCAGGAATGAACTATAAATTTGTAGGTCAGCCTCATCAGGCTGAACTATAAATTGGGCTGGCTTGCCTTTTCTTCCTGTTTCAGTCCCTCAGACCATGACTTCACAAAACACACTAAGGGCATTTGGCCTGACGGGGTACTGAGTGGGTATCTGGGTGGGTAACCTAAAAGACTAAGGGAAGGGAAGAAATGGGGAGAAAGGAAAGAAGAAACCCATGATGGAGAAAAAGGAGACAGTAAAGGGAGGGAAAGACAGAAGAGTGGAGAGAGAGAAGGTGAACTGAGGAAGAGGAGACGGGAGAAAGTGAGCACAGGGGTGGGAGCAAACATGACAGCCACAAAAATGAGAGGAGGCTCCATCTGCTGAGCACCCCACCTGCTGACATCCCAGGGTGTCCACCACAGGCCCAGGAGGTACATGTTACCATGAGCCCTGTTTTACAGGGGAGAAGACTGAGGTTCCGAGAAATTAGAGATCTGGCCAAAGGGACACAGCTAAGTAGCTAAGCTGGGATCTAAACCCAGGTTTGTCGACTGCCCGGAGTGCTGGGAGGGAGGGCGACAGAGGAAGGGAGGAGGCCCAGGAGTGAGGGGACAGGGAGAGTGGAGGGCAGGGGAACACACAGGGGCTCCCAGAGCAGGGCCAGGGCAGGGCTTACTGGGCAGGTTGCTCTGATAGACGCGGTCCACTTCGTCAGCGAGAGCAGCCAGCTCGCAGGCCCTCAGCGCCCAGATGAGGGACTCCACCCAGCCACTGCGCCGCTGGAGGCTGTTGAAGAGATCCCAAATGGTGTTCCGGTTCCCATTGAGATCCAGGTGGGCCCGCAGTAGGTCCTGGAAGACACAGCCCGTGGCTCTGCTCAAGCCAGGTGGCCCTAGCCCTTTTCCCACTCTGGAGGGGGCAGCTGCAGAGAGGGGCAACCGCAAGAAGGAGGCAGCCATCTGACACGGGGTCAGAGCCCAGGGCAAAGTTAGGGTTTGAGTTCAAGTTTAAAGGCAGCTATCAGGAAAGAGGCTCGTACTGTGTCCTGGGTTCTCTAGCTCAGGGCTTTGCATAAATTACCTTAAAAAAAAAAAAAAATATATATATATATATATATATATATATATATATATATATATTGATTTTTTACAGAGAGGAAGGGAGATCAATAGAGAGCTAGAAACATCGATGAGAGAGAAACATCCATCAGCTGCCTCCTGTACATCCCCTATTGGGGATGTGCCCGCAACCAAGGTACATGCCCTTGATTGGAATCGAACCCAGGACCCTTCAGTTCGCAGGCTGACCCTCTATCCACTAAGCCAAACCGGTTTTGGCATGAATTATCTTATTTAATGCAATTATGACTACTCTGCTGACAGAAGCTGAGGCTTTGCAGAAGTAAGTCAGCGAAGATACTTCAGCAGCGAGGCAGGATCTGAGCCCAGTGAGTCTGAAGCCAAAGCCTGGGGTTTGTTTATACAGCCTCCAGGATAAAAGGGCTTAGATTAGCAAAGGAGAGAGAGGTGTGTAGGAAACCGCAGATGAAGAAGGGCATAACAGAGAAGAGAAGAGGCCAATAATACAGACCAGGGAAGAGGAGGGACTGGGGAGATTCTGAGATGAAGCAGAATTTCCACATAAAAATAAGCAACCAGATAGCAGAAACAAAAACCCACAGTTGTTGCTCAGTGGTTTGAGCACTGACCTATGAACCAGGAGGTCATGGTTCAATTCCAGGTCAGGGCACATGCCTTTGGTTGTGGGCTCAATCCCCAGTAGGGAGCGTAGAGGAGGCAGCCAATCAATGATTCTCTCTCATCATTGATGTTTCTATCTCTCCCTCTCTCTTTGCCCCTGAAATCAATACAAAAATCTTTTTTTTAATATATATTTTATTGATTTTTTTACAAAGAGTAAGAGAGAGGGATAGAGAGTTAGAAACATCGATGAGAGAGAAACATCTATCAGCCGCCTCTTGCACACCCCCTACTGGGGATGTGCCCACAACCAATGTACATGCCCTTGACTGGAATCGAACCCTGGACCTTTCAGTCTGCAGGCTGATGCTCTATCCACTGAGCCAAACTGGTTTCGGCAATACAAATATCTTTTTTTAAAAAAATATATATTTTTATTAATTTCAGAGAGGAAGGGAGAGGGAGAGATAGAAAGATCAATGATGAGACAGAATCATTCATAGTCAGCTTCCAGCATGCTCCACACTGGGGATAGAACCCTCAACCCAGGCATGTGCCCTGACTTGAATCAAATCTCTGATCTCCTGGTTCATAGGCTGATGCTCAACCACTGAGCCATGCCAGCCAGGCAATAAAAATATCTTTAAAAAAAAAAATAAAGAAAAAGATGGTTCTGATAAAAATTTGTGTGGGGCCAGGTTTAGCTTAGTAAATAGGCCTTCGGATCAAAGGATCCCAGATTGGATTCTGGTCAAGAGCACATGCCTGGATTTCAGGCTTGATCCCCGCTAAGAGGGGTGAGGAGATGGCCAATTCATGATTCTCTCTCATTGATGATGTTTCTATCTTTCTCCATCTCCCTCTTTGAAATCAATAATATGTATATACATATACATATACATATACATATACATATATATATTTTAAATAAGTATGTGTCTATCATTAAAAAAGAAAGAAGGAAAGAAGGAAAGAAGGAAAGAAGGAAAGAAGGAAAGAAAGAAAGAAAGAAAGAAAGAAAGAAAGAAAGAAAGAAAGAAAGAAAGAAAGAAAGAAAGACAGATGTTTGTGTGGAACCAGAACCCAGAAATTCCAGGCAGCCACTGCCATATTGTTGGGCACTGCACCAAAACAACACCAGAGGGAGCCCAGGGAAGGCGGAAAGGCCACCCTGAACCACACTTCATTCTGAAAGTTAGAAGAGAGGCAAGGACAGGAAGTGGGTTAGACAACAAGGAAGGAAGGAGTTGGCTGAGGAGTTGGCTCTGAATTCCGCAGCCCTGCCCCCAGCCGGACTGCTGCCACGCCCCGGCTCACCTGGTCACTGGTTGTGAGGCAAGACAAGTAAGGCAGAATCTCCAGAACAGGAATATGGTGAAACTTGCGGTAATTGCGGCGGATGTACTCGAAAGTCTTCTCCTCGGCAAACGTCATCCCTCTCCAGCTCTGCAGGACGAGGGCTCTAACTCAATGGGGCTGAGAGAGAGGGGAAAAGACTGGAAGAAAACAGACCACACATGACAGCGGGAGTGGAAGTGGGACTGGACAAAAGGCAATTCTTTCTCAGCTCTGGAATTCTGGCCTTTTCTCTCCAACCATCCTATTTTCCTGTTACCTGAGTCTCAGAGGCCCTCAAGGAATTTGCTTAAAAACAGATTGATGACAACAAACATCAGATCCAGAAGATAGAGGGTCCATCTCTGCCCTGCAAGCTGGTCAGTGTTGGGAAGGGTCTGGCTCCTCGCCATTGTCCCCAGTCTGCGTGTGCCCCTAGCTGCCAACAGCAGGAGGGCTCTGACTAGACCGTGCTGCTACTGTGAAGCACACTGAGGAAAAAATGAAGCAGCAGCCCAACACGATCATAACAGGACCCATCCTACTTGAAAGGTAAAGAAAATTAAGTACTAAGAAAAGAAGGGGGCTTGCTAGTTAGTGGAAGAGCAAAGGATGAGGTTCTTTCCAGGACATGACTGCAGGCCTACCACTTACAGCTTGCTCCATACATGTTCTACAAGCAGGAGGCTGAGTTCTGCTTCCCTGAACTCACTGTTGACCTGCAGCAAGTTACCAGCCTTTTCCAGACCTGTCCTCACCCCTAAAATGGCTCAGGGAGCTTGGTCTGATAATACAGCAGTTCTGCCTTATAAGCTTGAAATGTACAAGGGTCTCAAATACCAGCAATGACTGCCAGACCCTTCTATAGCACTTAACACAATTTGCAATTGTAGATGCATTCGTTCATTTCTTATTTGCCTCCCCCTGGGGAGAAATGCAGGGAAATGCATTTCTCTACCATCATCCAATTTGTATTTTATTTTGTGGGATAGATAACAAATCAGTTAGCGTACATATAAATAAGAATCCCGGGTGGTGATAAAGGTTACAAAGAAAATAAATCAGGGTACTGAGACAGAGCCGATGTGGAAGGGTATGCTGCTTGGACTGGGATGGTCTGAGAAGCCTTTCTGAATTAGCCACACTTGAGCTGAGCTCCTCCTTCCTGGCTGTGAGAGTGGTGTTTCTGGCCGAGGGCACAGCAAGTGAGAAGTCCTAAAGTGGAAACTAGTTTGGCATGTTTGAAGGAGAGAAAGCAGGTCCAGGTGGTCCAGGTTTAGAAAGCTAGGGGAGGGGCAGAGATCAAGGTCAAGGAGGGCTGCTTTTATATAGCGTTATAGGGAAAATGTTGGGTTTTATTTAGAATGGAACAGGGAGCCATTGGAGGGTTCTGAGCAAGGAAGGGAGAGGACTTGATTTATGTTAAAGACCTCTCTGGCGATTGTGAGGACCTTGGACTGTGGAGAGGCCAAATGGAAGCATGGAGACAAGTCAGGAGACCATCGCAGGGGACAAACGGAGGATGGTATGGCTAGGATGGTAGCCATGGAGATGGCTGGATTCCTGGTGTTTTGTGGACTTGGAGGTGAGAGAGAGAGAAGAATCAAAGATGACTTCTTGGGCGCTGAGTGGATGGATGGTGCATTAAGCCAACCAGGGAATTCAGGGACAGGAGCAGTGTCAGGGGTTTCCCGAGTTCCCTTTTGAACAAGTGAAGCTTGAGATCCTATTGGATGTCCAGATGGATTTTCAGGGAGGGAAGGGGCCGGGGAGAAGGCCAGGCTTGAGTGAGACCACTAGGAGATAGTGCTGTAGAGCCTGCGGACTAAAGGATCCTGGGTTGGATTCCGGTCAAGGGCACGTGCAGAAGTTGTGAGCTCGATCCCCAGTAAGGGGCATGCAGGAGGCAGCCAATCAGTGATTCTCATCATTCATGTTACTATCTCCCTTTCCCTTCTTCTCTGAAATCAATAAAAAAAATATATTTTTTTTTTAAAAAAAGACTAATATTGAAGCAAGAACAGAGACCAAAGACATTGGAAAAAATAAAAAGCACCTCACAGCCCTGGCTGGTTTGGCTCAGCCTGTGGACGCAGGGGTCCCGGGTTCGATTTTGGTCAAGGGTATGTGCCTTGGTTGCGGACACATCCCCAGTGGGGAGTGTGCAGAAGGCAGTTGACTGATGTTTCTCTCTCATCGATGTTTCTAACTCTCTCTCCATCTCCCTTCCTCTCTGTAAAAAATCAATAAAATATCTTTAAAAAAAAAAAAAAAAAGCCCCTCACAGACACAGACAACAGTATGGTGATTACCAGAGGTTCCCCTCAGAGGCAGGAGCTGAATAGTACAGATAAAGCCCTCATTGGTTGGCTCAGTGAATAGAGCATCAGCCTGTGGACTCAAGGGTCCCAGGTTTGATTCCAGTCAAGGGCATGTGCCTTGGTTGCAGGCACATCCCCACTAGGGGGTGTGCAGGAGGCAGTTGATTGATGTTTCTCTCTCCTGGATGTTTCTAACACTCTATCCCTTTCCCTTCCTCTCTGTAAAAAAAATTAATAAAATATGTTAATAGAAAATAGTACAAATAAGAGAACTGTATAAGAATCAGACATTCGTGATAAAAGTGTCACTAAATAGTGATTAAATTGTTTAGAAGACATTATTCATAAAACTAGCTGTCTGTGAGAAAATAATATTAGATCCTAATTTTACACAATGGGTAACAGAAAACTCCAAATAAATAAGTCCTAAATATAAAGGGTAAATCATAAAGAAAAGAATAAGTGTAGAAAAATATTTTTTTAAAGAACTTGTAACAAAACATTTGAGATCTTAATCATGGCTCTGAGTTCATTCCCAAATATTCCAAATAAAAATATTAAGCAAATTAAAAAAAAAAAAAAAAGAAAGAAAGAAAGTCCATATTTGTTCACATTTATTGAGGACCCCCTACAGGCAGGCATATCCTAAATTGCTTTCATTTAATCTTGGCCACAATGCCAGGTAAGAAGTGATGTCAAATTGCCCATTTGACCCGTGGCCCTAGCAGATGTGAATCTAGGACCGACTGCCTCACTGCGGTTCACCATGCACCTTGCAGGAGTAGAGGCCCCGCAGCAAGTGAGACTCACAGTCCCCGGCTTCAATTTCAGGGAGGGGCCAAGGTCACAGCCGGATTGTTTATGTGTGTGTATGTGTGTGTATGTGGAGGGGGGGAGGAGGAAGGAGGGGAAGAGAAGGGCGCATGTCGCTAGGTGAGGTGTGCCGGGGAGGATACAACATTTAGTCCCTTGTGAGAAACGCAGCGCGGTTCTCAGGCCGCTGACTCTCCTTCCAGATGTTTTTGAGGCTCCACTGCATCTACATGGAGAAGGTTGTTTTGGGGGTGTTTTGTCTTATGAGTTTTTGTTTGTTTGTTTGTTTGTTCGTTTGCTTGTTTTCTTGGTACGTCTTTCCGGCCTCAGAGAAGACGGGCGGCGGAGTGCTGCAGCCCCACGCTGCGAGGGGAGTGTCCGGCCCCCCTGCCCCGGGGCTCTGAGTCGCTGCAGAAACATCCCCTCGCGCGGAGGGGTGAGCCGCCGGGCCTCGGCTCCGATCCCCAGATTCCTGGGCCGGACCCAAGTTCCAAGGGGGGCGGGAAGGCCTGCTCTTCTGAGTAGCTGTCACCACCGAAAGCTGTCAGGTCTTGGAGGAGGGCCGTAGCTCCCGAGGTCGGTAGGCCCCGCCCGGGGGTCACCCTGAGCCTGCGGGCGCCTGGAGCGCAGCGGCCCGGGCCGTCTCCTTCCGGCCCAGCTCCCCGCAGGCCCCGCGCCACCCCCCCCCCGACCCACCCCCCCCCCGACCCCCTGGTGCTGGCGGCGGAGCGCTGAGCCCCGCAGCCCCGAGCCCCGCGCTCTGTCCCCGACCCCGACCCCGCGCCCCAGACCCGCGCGCCCCGGACCCCGTGCGCCCCGGACCCCGTGCGCCCCGGCGGCCGCCGAGTCCAACCCGGGCCGTGCCTCCTCCTGGGAAACCTCTCCGAAAGGCGTCCGAGCGAGCTGATCCCAGAGGATCTTACCTGGGGGAGCCAGCACCCGGCGATCTGCCGACAGCCGCGGACCGCCGCCGCCGCCGCCGCCGCCACCCACACCGGAACTGTCCCCGCGGGGAGGGCGAGGCGGGGCCAGGGCCGGGCGGCGGGGGCGGGGCTGCGCCCGGGCTCCCAGGCCGCTGGGCGTCTGCTGCGGGCGCTCGGCCTGGGTTTGGGGGCTCGATCCGCTGGACCCGCGCTCCGGACCGACCTAGGTTCTTTTTGGGGCTCCAAGAAGCAGGTCATTTCCTTCCCTGTGCGTCTCGAGCACCTTTCAGGGGAAGTCCAGAGTCTGGCTGGAAACCCAGTGGGCGGCCCCCCTCCTGGTCCGAGGCCAGTTCGGTTCCCACGCTTCCTCCGCGAAGCACCCCCTCTTCCCGCGGAGTAAATTAAGGGGTGACGCCCGGGGCCTGGCACACAGTTAGTGCTCAGCTAAGTGTCCGGTGACTCGCAAAGTTTACTTGGATGCGAGAGCCCAACCAGGAAACAGCTCATGCCGGACCCCGAGGAGCGCAGGGCATGAGCGCCAAGGTTGGCTCGCCTGGCACCCTGCGCGCGGGAAAGGTTTCTTGGTCCCCGTGGGTACCTCCCGGAGTGCTTGCCAACCGCCTTGTCCTTCCTCTAATGGGGCAGAGGGCACTTGCTGAGGCAGAAGCCAGCACTTTTGAGCGCCTACTGTGTTCCAGGTACAGGCTTCAAGTCCATATCTTAGGGCCCATTACATCTTTCACAATAACCAGATAGAATGGTGTGGGGAAGCTTTCTAATTTGAAAAGAAATATAAAGACTTGGGGATGTGTTTGGCCGTTCATACTAAAGTTTATAAACGTGAGCCAACCCTATCACTCAGCAACCACTCCTGAGTATGCATCCACCTAGAAACATACACAATAGATAATGTTCATGGTGGCTTTAAAAAAAATGTGTATCTTTTCATTGATTTCAGAGAGGGAGAAGAGGGAGGGAGAAACATCAATGATGGGAGAGAATCATTGATCAGCTGCCTCCTGTACGCCCCACTCTGGGAACG